GGAGCCCAGGTTGGCTTTGCTTCCTAGGCTTCCTGCCTGAATGTGGCACCAGGAGATAGGTGGGGCTCTTCCCCTTTAATATGCAGAATTGGGGGCAGAGCAGGGTGCTGTTGTGCCAGGTCCCAGTGGAGGAATCCACAGGTAACACCCTTGGTGATGGGAAAGACAGAGGCTGTGGCAAAGGGTCTTCATGCAGCTTCTCACTGGAGACCCTGGGGGAAGCAGAGCAGGAGAAGAGGAAAAAATGAAACCTGCTGCGTGAAGACTGAGATATCTATGAGACATCCAACTGGGAATCTCAAAATAGTTGAAGAGATTTTTTGTGGGAAAGATTTTAGAAGCCTGGCATCTTTGGTGAGGGTGGGTTAAAGTCACATTACATTTGAAAAGGTTCTTATTTAGGGTAACCATATAATTTACATCCCAACCTGAGACCCTTTTGAGAGTGAAAGTGAGTGTTATTAATAAAATAGCTGGGATATCAGGTGTAAATTAAGATTGTCCCGGACAAACCAGATGCATGCTCACTTTGCTTATAAAGGATCTAATCCAGTGATTCTTGAAGGGCTGGGCCATATCCTGTGAAGAATGCAGTTGGGAGTTGGATGAGAATGGGGTGGAGAGAGCAGTTGTCACCAGAATTCAGTGCCAGGAAGGGTGTGTAGTTCTCCAGGGCTCTCCAGGTGACAGAGCTGGAGGACAGGACAAGAAAGCTTGTTCCCCCACCCTGAAGTCCATTGGATATAGGAACACTGAGGATCACAGAGATACCAGGATCACATGGTGGCAGAGCCCAGCACAGGGTCTGGAACATAAACAATCAACTGACTGCCTGAAAAAACTCTTGTGTCCTGATTTCTGGTCTATCTTTTCTAGGGGATTCTGTCAGTTTCTGGGGCAAAGCAGCTGGAAGCTTTTTTTTTTTTTTTTTTGTATGTGTGCATGTTGCTTCCATGCACTGAATCCACAGAGGGGGTGATGTTGCTCTTGCAATACTCAAGGTAATTCCTCCCACCCCCAAGCTGTGACCTTGCCTGTTCTTCTTGTGCCTCCCTATGACTTGCCTGTGTAAGTTCCCGAGGAGATGGACACAAACCCATCCCAGCATGACCAGGCGGCCTTTGTTAGAAATTACCTTGCTCCAGGAGACTGAGCACAAACCTGTTCTCAAGCTTGTACTGGTAGCCCCATGCCTGTGAGGTGCTGGGGAGAAAGACTGTGAGAAAGAGGGAGCCTGCAAGCAAAGGACCATAAAATAGCGCCTTCCAGTCACGATGCAATGGTCCATGTGACGTGGTACAGGCACCATATTTTCTGGGTCTAGTCTGTCAGTAAATAATCTGACACAGATGTTGCTGAATATTTTATGATTAACTTGCCCCAGGAGTCCTTAAATGTTTTATAATTCCTGGGTAAAGAAAGAAAGCATCCAGGGCTGTGTGCTCTTAGCAGCAAGTTCAAAAATCACTATAATGCTGAAGATAGGAGGCATTCCTTCTCACAATCACACTGTCAAAAAAGGGCAACGGTTATACAGGTTAAAGCTGCAGTTCAACGTGAACATGCAAACACAGCAACATACACATCTAACTGGAGGGGTGAAGTCTAATTTCAGGACCACTGTGATGATTCCACGGCTTGGATTTGAATATGATCCATCTTGAAAACCGAGATTGATATCTCTGGCTCTTTTGGACTGAAGCCCTTTTTGGATTAACCTATGGAGCAGGAGGGTTTCCATTATGACTGGGAGGTACAGCTGTAGGTTCATAAGGGATAAATTCATCTGAAGATTAGGTTTCCTCATAAGGAGAAGCGAATCCTGGTCTTGTTATTCTTAACTCACGTCCACATTTTCTTTGACAAGCAGAGGGCGCCCTACTGATAGCAATCTTACTGATCTTCCAAGAAAGAGGGCTAGTTGATCTCAGGGGTGTGCATGTGCACCCTTAGCCTACCTTTTCATACACCTTCAGTGAACTCAGAGTGCAATCTGGTTCCGCAAATCAGGGTAGGAGACAAAATATAATTAGGGAATAGTGGAGGAATGATGGAACTGTGTAGGTTAATGGTGATGCCCATGGACTTAGGACACGTGATTGTGTATTCAAATTCCAGCACTGCCTCTTACTAGCTCTGTGTCCTTGGGCAAGTTACTTGTCTTCTCTCCAGTTTCCTCATTAATAAAATGGTGAGAAATACTAACTTACTTGTAAAGCCCTTGGCACAATGCCTAGCCTATATGAAGTACTCAATAGATATTAGCTTTGAAAAATCAAGCAAGCCAACAAACAACCATCCTCAGGTTCAGACTAAGGGAAGAAAGAGGCAGAAAATGAGCCAGGAGCCTGCTCATCCACAATACTGGAATGACTTGTTCTGGAAAATGTTACACAGACTAATGTGTGTGTGTATACACATATATACATATGTGTTTACATACATATACACGTGTGTATATGCATATACACATACACATGTGTGCATATATACATACATAGACAACTTCCCTGCCCACTGCTGCTGAATGGGCAGTTGCGTCTCCATTTATGCTGTGCTCATGGAAAGGACGAAGTTTCCTTGCAAAGCGGGCGTGTCTGTGTTCAATGTAAATTCCTTAATTTCAGTTGTTTTGCCTTGACAATCTGGATTGAAAAAATATAAATATTTAAAATAAAAGAAAAATAGAAATTTAAAAATAAAATCATAAGAACAGAGGTATAATAAATTATTTTTCACTTCATAAAGGGAAAGGACAAAATTATGGATTTATTTTAGATAGTAAAATCTCTAGCAATTAAGAAATGTTTCTCATTATATATAACTTTTAAGAAACACAATGTTATTTAGTATATTATTTGCACTCTTTTCACTGTTCATCTTAATACAAAGCAGATCTTGAGATATACAGAAACCTCGGCCATCTTTAAAGATAAGAAAGTTCATATTTATAAAGGCCTTCCTTTCATTCTGATTTCATGATTTTCATAATTATAACTACACTGTGATTTGTTATATGCCATGGCTACAAGTTGGAGTTGTATCTGCAACCCACTGAATTTGTATTGAGACAGTACATTTGTGTTTTGCTGTGTTCTCATGTGTCTGACACTGTGATATTGACAATATCTGGAGAAAATGCTAGATGCGGATACCTTCAAAACAGTCTAGTTTTTAGAAAATCCTCAATATATAAAAGGAGTTAGTGAGTGGGAGGCATTATATTTATACTTTAAAACATTTTAAATAAGAAATGAATTATTAGACAATCTACAAGGAAATCCATCCCTCTTAGGGGTTTCTGTGTTCATAAGATTTCTCAAATGCACAGTTTTTCTTTGGTAATTTAATTTCTGCTGCAAATATCCATCCAATTTTTTGGTGATTTATCATAGATTTTAATTTATAGTGAGAGTGCTGGGCTAGCTCTGCGAGAGATAATATTTTTTTTTCTCACTTCATTCTAGTTTCAATGAATTATTGGTCTTTCCCATTATTACCAATTTATCTCTGGATGTCAGTGCTTTTGAACAATGACTAGTTTTACAAAATTCTCCAGCCGTCACCTGGAAACTTCTTGTGCCAATGTTGCTTTATATTTATCTTAATTAAAAACTATTCTAGTTTTAAGACTTTGAGCCCTCCTACATTAAATTGCCAAACATACCTTGTGAGTCCTTGAGCAAGTTGCCTACCCTTGTACAAGTCAGAATATCCTTATGTATATAGTGAAGATAGAACACTTGCCTTGCCCACTTCAGAAAAGGACAGTACAGCCTGGTGGTTGAAAGAAATGATCTCTGTGGTCAGATGGGCTAGTGTGAAAGTCTCTGCTACAGTGTGATTCTTGGAAAATTCCTTAACCTTTCTCAGCCTCAGTTTCCTCATTTACACAATGGAGGGAATAATAATACCTATAGGGTTGTTATGAAGTGAAACCCAGTTGTGTAGTTTATGTGCATAGTATAATGCTGGGCATATTGTGAGTTTTCTTAATTGTGGTGTGTTTATGCATCTATAAGTATACTGTTGTGAAGATCAAATAAAAGCTATACAAAAGTGGTTTATAAGTTGTAAAGAGCTATTCAGATGAGTTGGCATCATTAGTTGAACATTCTGGTATGTTTTAAAGCCCACAGTTTGAGTTAAGACCTGAATGAAGCAACCACTGAGGGAAGGCCGACCCTGTCTACCCTCTGTGTCTGACCCCTAATAGCACCCTCCATCTATTGGGTGGCCACTGTATTCCAGACCCTGTGCTTTGCCTACTTTGTTACTAACCCTCACAACAGTCCTCCAAGGTAGGTGTGATGATTCACATTTTACAGATGAAGAAACTGAGCTCAGCAAATTTAAGTAAATTGTTTACAATCATATAGCTTTTAAGTTAGAGAATTAGAGTCAAAACCCAGGTTGATCTGCTGTGGGAGTACATGTATTTTTCACTGTACCATGTCTCCAGGTGGGAGTGAGCAGCAGCCGTGAACCAGACAGACTTCCGGTCTTGGATCTGCTACTTCTGAACCCTGTGTGTCTAGGCAGGGGGGCTTACCCCTCGAGCACAGGTTTCTTCATATATAAAATGACAGTAATAAGTCTTACCCTACAGGAATTTATAAGCATAAACACGAAAGCACATAGTAAATAGTAATAAATAGTAGCTCTTCATATTTTGTCTTGTCTTCTGGTACTTTCCATGTCCCAAGGGGCTGCTGGAGATCGGCTTCTCCTTCTCCAGGCCAGCAGGGGGAGATAGAGACCATAAAGGATGTGACCAAAGTAGGACAGTATCCCTGACCGCCGCACTCTAGGGTCCTCCGCCGCTGCTAGGAGTCTGAATCACACCAGGTCCTTGGTACTCTCTGATTCCGGCATTACAAGGAAGAAAGAAAGAAAGAAAAAAAACCCAACACAAACTGTTACACGCAACAATAGACACGACCGTCACCACAGTAGTATTCCTAGTGTTTTGTGTGAGGCTCTGAATAGATGGTTTTATATTACACAGGAAGCCACTCACAGTGGCCTGTGTGAGCACTTTTGTGGAGCTCGCGAGGACGTCGATAACATTAGGGAAACAGAAAGGCGAATCCCCCCAGTCCTCCGTTAGGCCCAATTAGCAGACGCCGCTGCACAAAGGAGGTGGCGCCCGCCCGCCGCTCTCGCTCGCGGCGGCGGCATCCCCCTCAGACGCCGCGCACCCGGGTCTCACCACAGCCTCGTTTGTGGGACGAAGCCGCCATTCCCCAAATAGGTTGCTTTCAAGAAACGAATATTGGTAAGCGTTAAATGATGACAAATTAACACAAGATGGTAAAGTACATGCACATGCAGATCGGACCAAACACTGATAGGTGGGGTGGGGTGGTGTATCCCAGTCGCTTTACTTGCTCTTTCTTGGTTTCTTACACCAGTCCCGTGAGATCCTTATTATTTAAATTTCGACTCTGGTTTCTCTGGCTCCGCTCCCACTTGCTGTCATGAACCCCTGCAAAGCCCTCTCCCTGTTTCTCTGATCGCTCTCAAGGGGCGGCAGTGGTGTGGCTTGCCTCACAGATATCACGAACAAGTGCAACCCGTTTCCACGTGGCATGTGCGGTTTTATTCCCCTTCTCCTGCTCTCACGTGCCCATAAACAGGGGTCACTTACTCCCGCTCAGCTCTGTAATGTGGCTGCTCTCCAGCTCTGGAGGTGCCAAGCTTGTGGTGGTTTATGTTCAAGAGTGTGTGTGGGGGGGGCGGGGGGAGAGGAGAAGGGAGGGGTGAAGGTGATGTCTCTTCTCTTTTTATTTTTTGTTTTTTTTGAGACAGGGTCTCATTCTGTCACCCAGGCTGGAGTGCAGTGGCACAATCATAGCTCACTGTGACCTGGAGCTCCTGGGCTCAAGCGATCCTCCTGCCTCAGCCTCTTAAGTAGCTGGGACTACAGATGCACACCACCAAGCCTGGGGCTAATTAAAAAAATATTTTTTGTATAGGGACTGGGTCTTGTTATGTTGCCCAGGCTGGTCTCACACTCCTGGCCTCAAGCAATTCTCCCTGCCCAGGCTTCCCAAAGTGTTGGAATTACAGGTGTGAGCCACTGTGCCTGGCCCCTTTGTAAAATAAATCACACACTATTAGATAACAGAGTACTAAGAGGCCCCTGTGTTCTTTGTGAAAACAAACCTCTTTAGCCCATGCTGCCAATTTCCCATCCTTCAAGATTGAGTCTAGATATTCTATTGTCCAGGAAGTCTTCCTTAAGCCCCAGACTGCTCTGTGAGCACCTACCACCCCTTGTGTTCCCAAACCGCTCTGCTTGCTGCTATCTTGGCATGCTGTATCCACAGTTGTCCAGTGGGGCAGGTGACACATAACTCCTTGGGGACAGGGTCTGTGACTCATTCACCTTTGTACCCCAGCACCTAGGGCAGTGCCTGGCCCACAGTGGTGCTAGACCCATATTTACAAAGTGAATCTGTCTCCTCTTTGGCTTTGAGATCGCCTCAGGTCCTATCCTCCATCCCTTTAATGTCTCTAGTCAGCTCTGCCTAGTACCTGCCTTCGCTGGCATCATACCTCGAATGCCTCTCTTTACCTAGGCCTCTCTGGATTTGTGGTCTGGCTTTCAACTGTCCATCAGGGTTCTAAACCAATACTTTCTTTTGATGCTGTGTGTTTCTTGGTGCTGCCATAACAAAGTACAACAAACTGGGTAGCTTAAACACCAGACATTTATTGTCTTAAGGATCTGGAGGCTAGAAGTCTGAAATCGAAGGGTCAGCAGTGGTGGTTCCCTCTGAGGGCTGTGAGGGAAGGATCTCTTCCAGGCCTCTGCCCTGCCTTCCATCTGGGCTTCCAGCACCATTTCTTGGCATGAAGATGGTATTTTCCCTGTAGCTTCACGTTGTCCTCCTTCTGTAAAATGTCTGTCTCTGTACTTAATCTCCCCTTTTTATAAGGACATATTGGATTAGGGTTTACCCTAATGACCTTATTTTAACTTGATTGTCTACAAAGACCCTATTTCCAAATAAGCCCACATTCACAGCTTCTGGGGGCAGGGCTAGGACTTCAGCATCTTTTGGGGGAAACAATTCAATACCTTTAGGGCAAATAGCACCTTGCAGCCCACCCATGTTTGGCCAAAGTTTCCCACAGTGGCTCCTACTTTTCCAGAGGGACTTCACACAGGATTCAATAGTTGCTAGTTCACTTTCCTTTTCTACCTTCTCAAGGAGAGCCAGAGCACAGAGTTTCACCCTTCAAGTGGTCTGAGCTGTATAGTTATTTTGAGAAGTGAAAAAATATTGCCTGTCAGCATTGGCACCCAGCTGAAATTAAGTTCAATAAGGTCTTTGACCATTCAGAGCTTTCATTCCTATAACCCGTTTGTGGGAAGACAATGAATTACTAGCCATATTGTCACAGCAGCCTCCTGATAATACATTTCAAGGTTTTATTGGTCTGCTACCTCTCAAAGGATTGGGAACCCTCTGAATAATCCTCCTGAGGCTGGGGAATCTTAGAAAGTGTCTTAACAGCACTGAGTCATTCAGAATATGTTTGGCACAATCCACAGGGATCTTTTCTAGAGAGAAAACAAAGTTGAAAGCAGAAGAAAGAACCAAGTGGAAAAAATGAAACCAGTGGAGGATGTAGCCAATTTCCACATTAGATTGAATCTCTGGTTTAATCTTGGCTGAAGAGGTGTTCTTGGAGTTGCCTGCATCACTTTGCTTTTCTTTTTGATGCTCAGTTTTTGAACCATCTGCATGTCCTTACATTTATTGTTAATTTCCTTTGGCCTTTTACTCCCTTGGGAGTCACAAGAAAGGCTACAGCAGAGCTAGTAGCCCCTTCTTGGCTGGTGCACACATGCACAAGTTACATCATTGGCTCTCAATCCTGGCTACTCTACCACAGGTTCTGCTGCAAGTGGTCTGGGTGGCACTGGGTGTCAGTGCTTTCTAAGAGGTGCTCCGGTGATTCCAGTGGGCGGCCAGTGTTGAGAACCACTGTCTCATACCTTTTTGGCTTATTTGATTTGAAAGACAAAACAGTAAAATTCAGTGACTATTTGGAGTGTAAGGTCTGCCTGAATCTCTTGAGGTCACACATTGCCCTCCCCACCCCCTATCCTCAGATAGGCACATTCATGAGGCAAAAATCCCAGCTAACTGGTTTATCATGGCCAGGGACAAGAGGAAACCATGCAGCTCCATGGGCATGAGGATGAGGAGGCCATGAGGAAAGCATGCAGCACCATTATACTTGCTTACTGCCCACATCTTTGAGTCCATCTGGTAACCTAATTCTGTAGACAGAGTTTTCCTTTCTTGGTGAAATTACCTTCTAGTTCATGTCCCTTTTTTTTTTTTTTCCAGATTCTTGCCTTTTGACTGGGTTGATAAGTCACTTGATCACTTTAATCCTTTTTCTTTATCTAGAAAGCAGAAATAGTTGCTGTCTTCCCCAGCATTGTTGTGGAATAAATTTGAATATCCTTAGTTTGCAGAAATTGCTTGAAAATCTCGTCTTCCATTTCCAACAAAATAACTCTGAGAGCCTGGTTTCTCTGCTATGAGAACACAGAAACAGTTTAGCTAAGCATGATTAGCTTGATTTTTGTCGATCCAACCTAGAGTAGGTAAGTTAACAGGGAGAAGCCAGTTCATTGAAAAGCTTAGGTATTGCTGTACACAGTGTTGGTTCAAAGAGTACAAATAGGTTTTTACACAGACAGAGAATATCTATTTCATGAGGATTAATAAGATGATGTATGTGACCATACCAAGCACAGTGCATGGATCTAATAGTTTCTCAAGGCGTTTGTGTTCATTCATTTAACTTTCATGCCAAGACTTTTGGTGAGGGCTTCTAGCATGGCAGTCTGGTAGTCCTTGACCATGTCAGGGAAGAGGGGGTATGATGCATTTCACTGATAATGGGTTACAGTATGTTCTTATCTTTTATTTTCTAGGTAACTGTTTGAGAATACACACATCCTATTAGCAGAAAGTCCAGAGTTTCTTTCTGATCTTTGCCCACTCTTCTAGGTAGTAAAAATTATTTAAACATTTTTTCTATTTATTAATAAGCATTTTAAAAAGTATCTATTTTCATCAACAGATGAATGGACAAACAAAATGTGGTAACACAAACTATGGAATATTATTCAGTTTTAAAAAGGAAGAAAATTCTGGTACATGCTATAGCATAGATGAACTTAGAAAACATTGTGATAAGTGAAATAAGTCAGATACAAAAGGACAAATATCGTATGATTCCACTTACATACAGTATATAGAATAGGAAAATCCATTGAGACAAAGTAGAATAGTGGTTGCCAGGCATTGAGAGGAAGGGAGGAGGGAGAGTTATAGCAGGTACAGAGTTTCTATTAGGGATGATGAAAAAGTTCTGGAGACGGATAGTGCTGTAGTTGCACAACATTATGCAACTATCAAGGCACTTAATGCTGTTGAATAGAATGCTTAAAAATGCTGAAAATGGTAAGTTTAATGTTATGTATATTTTTGCCACAATGCAGAAATACACACATGCACACACACACACACACACATATACACACAATACCTATTGACTATATCTTGGGGGACAGTAGTGGCTCTCTGAGAAAAAAACCAAAATAAAGCAAAACAAGTAAACCCAAAGCCTTATTCGTGGCATTTTCTGATTTCCATGGTGTAAATGCTTCCTCTGTGGCAGATTTCAAACTACCAACACAATGACTCTGAACTTGGGAGGTGGTAAGAGAAGGGCAACATGGGCTCTTCTGCAGCCACTCCTGCTTGTGGAAAACAAAATACTTACTGTAACTTTACTTTTTCACTGTTCTCCCACTTGTCACTTTTTGTTATAAATTGGGGTTTTAAATTAAGATTATTAAACAATTATTATTTTTATACTAGGTAATATATAACCTCTTAGTGATTTGAAATTTGCATTATTTTTAGTATATATGTTAACTATTTATATTTCACTGATCATCATTTTCTTTTATTATCTCCATTTTCCTTTTCCTGACTTTTTGTTTCATTTTTTCAGTTGTACAGGGTGTCCCAAAAGTTGCCATACATAGGGAAAATGGGAAATCGTAGCTAAATGTACCTTTATTTACAAAATATTAATTACAAAATTTTATAAAATTTTTCCTTTGTGTGGAGACTTTTGGGATACCCTGTATATACTCTAGGCTTTTTTTGAAATAAAGAGTACATAAGTGTTTTTATTTCAGAGTCCTCAAATTTCTTTTCTGTTTTGCCTTTGAAG